ATAAACGACATGACATTAAAAAGCAAGTAGTGTATTGTGAAGACAAATAATAGCAAACGGCAAACTCCCCTGTGACCCTGTTTTATTTCCATAGATCAAACAATTATGTTTTAGCGAAAAGACTTACCATTAATGTATAATTATTAACTGTAAGTACATAGCTATTGAACTAGAGCAATCACTCTTACTGATTTTATAATTATAAAATGTGAAGGATATATGTAATTGTTAATGTAATAATATCCGTAGAGGTCTGAGCTTTTTGTGCCCTCTGTGATCCATTTTTGCGCTACCGCTCACAGGATGGGTATGGGGTGCACAATAAACTAGCTGCCTCCGGTGGCAACAATAAAAAATGTTCATCCATACTATATATATATGAGTGAGCGTCACTAGTGGTTTGTAGCCTATGAACTTTCCCTTATCGAGGAGCACACCGTCAGTGACACAAGAGGCGTGGGAACAACTCGCCAGGAAATAATCTCACGTCACTGCTCACAAACGACCGAGGTGTCTTCACATCTTTCCTTGTGTAGTTATTTGAGTTATAGTTATAGTAGTTATTAGTTATTTCCTTGTGTACAGGTGAGTTGGAAGCCTCGGGCCGCCGCCATGGTGACAGTCATAGCCTCACCTGGGCACTTTTGTCCACAACTAAACTCTCACCTCTACTCTAAAGTCAGTATATTATAGCCTCATCTGCCCATATTGTTGTCTACAATCGTCCATCTTCCACTCACAATACACACTTATGAATGATCCAGAAAATGATAAAAACGATACATTTCATAATCAGAACCAGACTGACATATTCTGATTAACCACAACTGCTTAACACACAACACCGTCAAATGTTCAGTCATTTTTTTTACAAGTTCCTCGATAACGTGATATATTCAGTAAACACGTTAGCAGCTCAGTTGACCGCAGGGTCACACCCAGCCTCACACTTGACAATAGGTAACTCGTGCAGTAAACCTGTCTGGACAAAGATACAAAAGGCATCAAGATGTAGTAGTGAGTACATCGTGGGAGACTTTAATCCCTGAGGAATAGATTGGACATTAACAACAGGTAACTCAGAGGCTGAAAGAATTCTTGAAAGTAATTGAACAGTTTCCTGACCAATATATTTAACAAACCAGAAACAATAATTTAGATTTGTTCGTGGTGAACAACGAATTGGTCAAGTATGATGATAGAGGAGTTAGAGGTGGTGGCACCTGGAGGACACCTAAACAACTACCAATCCCAAATTCTCTAAAAGCACCTTGCGAGCAGTTTGGACAACACAAACGTTGATAATATTGGGACTACGTAACATACCATATCACTCCTATTATTCTGTATAACAGACTGAAAATAATGCAAAGAAGAACTCTGGGGGGCCACTAACAAAAATTTATAATAGATCAATTGTAACCGAAGTTCTCTACTGCCTGAAGGGTGTCTAAAGGTCCCGGTACTCCAGAAGGGGAGAGTTCCTGACACGAACACCAGCAATAGTATCTAGGCTCCTTAATCGTTCATGGGGGGAAACTTCCTGGAAGCAATAATACGATTCTGTAACACGTGGAAGAATAAAGGTTGATAAGATACTACCACCAGGGTTTACAAGGTCTTATCTCTCTAACCAGTTCACTATTCTTCAAGTGTGTTCGAGGCAGTGTACAATAACAAATATGATGTATATCTTGGCCGATATTCCACATTGTGGCTCCTTAGGAAGCTGGAAGAGCACGGCAGTGGAAACAGCATAACTAAACTGGATCAAGGCATGATAGAAAGACATACAGTAGAGGGATGTATACAGGAAGTGAGAGTGTATGGGTGTTGCTAATATAAGCTACACGGCACTATACACCACACACTGATTTTTATCATTTACATCAACGATCTGAGGCAAGGAGAGCAGTGCATCAATACACGAAATAGAGGTAACAGTGTGCTAAGATTTATAATTGGAAGCATCGGTACCAGAAGCACGAACACCGACCTTCAGCTATATCTAGCACGGGTGAGGCCCCACTTGGGCTAGGCTCTGGTTGTCGTCCTTCACACTGTACACACACTCCCATCACAAGCTATACGGAACCTTTCCTACGACGATACATTGATGTCTCGGTCTGCACTCGCTGGTGAGAAACGGAACGCTGGGAGATATGCTCGAGGTGTTCAGGTATTAAGCTTCCCTGTGCCAGTTGAGACGCAGCATCCCTAGCCGGGTGAGTTCCAGCATCCCTGACCAGCGGAACTTAATTTGCTCTACAAAAACAACACTCCTGATCCACCACTGACATTTCCCACTTGGGATCCTGCACTCAGGCCGGTGAGTGGTGTCTGAGCCCGCAGCCATACCATGCGAAATGTCATGTTCTCAGAGGAGGCAATCCTGATGTTGCTTGTGTAAGAGTGAACCTTAGGGCCCGGAGAGTTACAGGAGGGTGTGGCACTAGCAAGCACTCGCTCACTTTGCTTTCACATCCTCGTGACTCTTGTTTACGTCCACTCGTGTGCGTGTGTGCACGCGCGCTTACCTATCGATGCCTTGCGGGGAGCGAAATCTGGCTCGCGGGGCCTCCATTTGTTTTGGGTTGGTAGGCGCTAACCTCGTTCACACACGTTTGGGTTTAATATTTTCTTTTTGTTTTTCGCAAGATTTGGATGTCATGCCGGTGCTGCATATTTTAGAATTGGTATGACATAGGTTGTGTACATTATTATGAAGGAGTTTGTGTTTATGTTTTTAATGCACTTTAGTCTTTAAATGCACGCTGTTTTTATTACATATATCTGCACCTCTGGTACAGGAGGCAGTGTAGTGGTTGTCCTAAAATTCTCTCATTGCTACAAGTGTGTCTCATGCTATAGTGCCTTTCTGTCCTTCCCACTTTCCCTATACTCATTACCTCACACTTGGTGGGACTGACTCTGGCAGCCTGGTTACTTGCTGCTTTAATAAAACACAATAATTCTGCCCTTAACCTTGTTCATCAGTTACAGGTCGTTTATAATGATCAATAACAGCGAAGGTCCAAACACTCAACTACCTTATTTCCTGACTTTTACCATCCTTGTTCCTCCCGCGGCCCGGTCCTCGACCAGGCCTCCTTTTTGTTACACACCCCGAGAAGCAGCCCGTAGCAGCTGTCTAATTCTTAGGTACCTATTTACTGCTAGGTAACAGGGGCATCAGGGTGCAAGAAACTTTTTGCCCATTTGTCTCCGCCTCCACCGGGGATCGAACCCGGAACCTCAGGACTATGAATCCGAAAATATGACCATGGTCACATTTATCGAAAGCTTTTGCAAAATCTGTGTAAATTACACCGGCGTTTAGCATGTCTTCCACGGTATCTACGGTCATGTCATAGTGGTCTAGAAATTGTGAGAGGCAAGAGCGCCCTGTTCTGAAGCACTGTTTCCAGAGTTATCTAGACACTGTGATTTTGTGTTTTGTGATCTTCTTAGCACTCTTTCATCGTTTTTTATGTGTGACGTTAGAGTTATGTCTAAAAAGTTTTGGGTCTGCTTTACTGCCTCCTTTGTAAAGTGGCGCGATCTCCCCTGTTTGGTCTGTCAGGGATAACACTAGTATCTAGGCTCCGTCTTCAAAAGATGTTTAGGACCTGTAATAGTGATATTTTGCACTTCTTGGTGAATATACAATTCCAGGAGTCTGGGCCTGGTACAGAGTGCATTGTCATGCTGTCTATGGCTACTTGAGGATCCAGTGGGGATACGGGTGACATCTGATACATGGTTTGATGTTGGTATCACATTCGTAAACAATTCATTTGGATCACTGATCTTCCACGCACGGGGTTACGTTAGAGGTTTCTCCGTAAAGAAATATTGTCCTCTCCGTAAATTCACAGATAACTGCTGGCGTGAGATTTAAAGGATTATCACACACGTGATTTAGGGTTATTGAGGAGGCTGAGAGTGAGGGTGAGTGCGGGAGTGACATCCAGTGCTGGAGAGCGTGGCACTCCGCACGCCCAGTAGGTTCATCGCGTCATTGTCAAATGTAGGAGGTCATGTAGGTGAAAGTGCGGCGCACCTCACCTCACCTCTCATGTCTGACAGGTTACCTGGCTCAGGTCATAAGTCTCATTAAGAAATATATATATAAATATTATATACCAAAAATATAAGTGTGTGGGGGCCGGACAGGTGCTTAATGTGGCCCTGCAACAGAGATGTTGCTAACGAGGCCTACAGGAAGCAGCTCCTGTACACGCCTCCTCGCTCTCTCTTAAGACATGCGTGTAACTCACCAATAAGTTATCGTTTATGATGTTACTTGGTGCCTCGTCCCGGCCACCAGCGACACAACGCTCCTTAACTATATTGTCACTACGTCTAAACCTTTCCATTTATGTCTTGCTTTGGTTCTCCCGTGAGTAGACTTACTGAAGGTGTGTGTCACGACGCAGGTGTGGGGGACGTGTGTCACGATGCAGGTGTGAGGACGTGTGTGTGTCACGACGCAGGTGTGGGGGACGTGTGTGTGTCACGACGCAGATGTAGGGACGTGTCACGACGCAGGTGTGGGGACGTGTGTGTGTGTCACAACGCAGGTGTGGGGACGTGTGTGTGTGTCACAACGCAGGTGTGGGGACGTGTGTGTGTGTCACAACGCAGGTGTGGGGACGTGTGTGTGTGTGTCACAACGCAGGTGTGGGGACGTGTGTGTGTCACGATGCAGGTGTGGAGACATGTGCGTCAAATGAAATAATAATTAATAAACTTGCCGTTTATGAGTTCATCAACTGCCCCGAGGCATGACACAGTCAACCACAGTTCACACCCGGTTATTGACTCAACTTACTCACCTGCCGCTCGAGTCACCCAGTGTGAATCACCACGTGTAAGGGTGACTTACAGTGAGTGACTGGTGCAGCAGAAACACTGAAATAATAAGGGGTAACGGAACAGGAGAGTGGGAAGTGATGCACCATGTTAATGTTCACTGACCCACTTCCTGGTGTACTCACCAACCATCTGTCGTCCGATGGAGGATTGAGCCTCCACGCGTCCTCGCCGCCTCGCTCGCTGTGAGCGAGTGCTCGTTACTCTTGCTTGTTTCTGCAGCTCTCCTCGTTCTCGTAGCTTGTCTGGCTCCCGCTCTTGCCACGGTGTCGTTCTCACCTTTGCTTCAGTCATTTGCACCACCGCTGTTTCTTGCGTGTTTTGGGTCCATAATGTCCATATCTCTCTAAGGCACAGTTCTTGGGTTCTGTGGATGAGTCCAGACACCTCTCTGGGGTTTTCGCCGTTCAGGGACGTGTCTGCGGGGTTCTCGTCGTCCAGGGACGTGTCTGCGAGGTTCTCGTCGTCCAGGGACGTGTCTGCGAGGGTCTCGTCGTCCAGAGACGTGTCTGCGACGTTCTCGTCGTCCAGGGACGTGTCTGCGAGGGTCTCGTCGTCCAGAGACGTGTCTGCGAGGGTCTCGTCGTCCAGAGACGTGTCTGCGAGGGTCTCGTCGTCCAGAGACGTGTCTGCGAGGGTCTCGTCGTCCAGAGACGTGTCTGCGAGGTTCTCGTCGTCCAGGGACGTGTCTGCGAGGTTCTCGTCGTCCAGGGACGTGTCTGCGAGGTTCTCGTCGTGCAGGGACGTGTCTGTGAGGTTCTCGTCGTCCAGGGACGTGTCTGCGAGGTTCTCGTCGTCCAGAGACGTGTCTGCGAAGGTCTCGTCGTCCAGGGACGTGTCTGTGAGGGTCTCGTCGTCCAGGGACGTGTCTGCGAGGTTCTCGTCGTCCAGGGACGTGTCTGCGAGGTTCTCGTCGTCCAGGGACGTGTCTGCGAGGTTCTCGTCGTGCAGGGACGTGTCTGTGAGGGTCTCGTCGTCCAGGGACGTGTCTGTGGGGTTCTCGTCGTGCAGGGACGTGCCTGCGAGGGTCTCGTCGTCCAGGGACGTATCTGCGAGGTTCTCGTCGTGCAGGGACGTGTCTGTGAGGGTCTCGTCGTGCAGGGACGTGTCTGTGAGGGTCTCGTCGTCCAGGGACGTGTCTGCGAGGTTCTCGTCGTGCAGGGACGTGTCTGTGAGGGTCTCGTCGTCCAGGGACGTGTCTGAGGGTCTGTGGGGTTCGTCGTGCAGGGACGTGTCTGCGAGGTTCTCGTCGTGCAGGGACGTGTCTGTGAGGGTCTCGTCGTCCAGGGACGTGTCTGTGGGGTTCTCGTCGTGCAGGGACGTGTCTGCGAGGGTCTCGTCATGGTAGAGGAAATAATAGTGTCACGACGATTATGTTTTTTTAGATGATGATGATGATGGTGAGGTGGATGTTGGGAGCAGCTGGAGCGGCCATAGTAGGAACACCTGTAGAAGGAGGACCTCGATAGTGATGACGAGAGGTGGACCTCGGGGTTACGAAGGCCTCGTGGAGATGGGAGGTGCGAGGCGGTGTTGGAGAGGTATTAACATCACTGAGAGATGGCAACAACAGCTAGGATAGAACCATGCGTGTCTGGCTCTTGTTGAATGATAATGTTGAGGGCTGTGAAGCTTCCTGTTAGTGCTCCTCACACGAGCCTCCAGCAGGCTCCGTCAGTCACTGCTGGTTCACGCCGGCGGCTTGTCACCAGGCTTGGTGTCTTGCTCCGGCTTTCTACACTCTTAAGGCCCTTGTGTCTAGCGCCCTAACGCACTTTATAACGTCTCCATACTAATTGTCACTTAAATTTGCTCCATTGAATTATTTTATTATCCCCTTATAATTTATATCCTCTTTAATACTAATATTATTATTTTTTACAATAAATAAGAAAATAATATTAATAATCAAAAATGTTTTATAAGTGTACACTTTCAGGCATTTCTTAAATACTTAATTATTGCTTGTTTGTTTTAGTTCCCCCTGTTCACTGTTCATCGTTTCTGTTATTTTTTGCTTCAATATCTAGAATTTTTCCTCAGTTTATAATTTTGTGTTTTTACTTGTTATAATTGGTAGTGAGAGTTGAGGGCCGTCAACCCTCCTCCTTAGGCCTCCGAGTCTGCTTCCTTAAGGTCAACCTCGATCTCCTCTGGCGAGCGGAGATCAATGGCGAACTTTTTCGGTTTCTTGACGGACTTGTTGCCCTTCACCTGCCGGAGGATCAGTGAGACGGATTACTGGTGGATGAAAGTGAGGCGGGAGGAGTATATTAGAGGTACTTACAATAAAGAATTGTATATATAATATATATCAGTGTATATATATATATAGAAGAAGAGGGGGTTTGGGGGGTTGGAGTACCTCCTTGGAGAACTGCTGGAAGGCCTGGGCCAGGGCGAAGGTGAGCTTGCGGGCGTTGTGTCGGGAGTCGCAGACGAAGGCGTGACACTGGAACGGGTGTTGGGTTTTGATGCTTCCTGACTCCTCCCGTACCACGATCATGGCGAACACTCGCGTGTACACCAGGTCTTGCACGCCGTAGCTGCTCCCACACGCACACAAACACACACGGAAAATAGTACACGTTAGTCCAACTGGTACCCTTAAACACTTGAATAGCAACCTGTTATTGTCAGGAATATTGACTAAGCCACTAATGTTCCCATCATATCCTGGATGTCAACCCGACTGACCTGATGACGTCGATGTTGTAGAAGCCGCCTTCGAAGTCCTTGTTGACGTTCTGGGGCATGTCGGTGATGTCGACGCCCTTGTCACTCACTGTCAGCTTGAGGAAGGGCAGCGTCTCGCCCGCCTTCATCTCCTTCGCCTGAGCTACCATTTCGTCCACAGGTTTCCTCGTGTGCTGAAGATCACATATATTGTTATCAGCCCATAATGTGATGACCCACGCCCCTCTACCCTCCCCTGTTGACCCACGCCCCTCTACCCTCTGTTGACCCACGCCCCTCTACCCCCTGTTGACCCACGCCCCTCTACCCCCTGTTGACCCACGCCCCTCTACCCTCTGTTGACCCACGCCCCTCTACCCTCTGTTGACCCACGCCCCTCTATCCCCTGTTGACCCACGCCCCTCTACCCCCTGTTGACCCACGCCCCTCTACCTCCTGTTGACCCACGCCCCTCTACCCCCTGCTGAGGGCTCCAACACTGGTGCAGACGGCCAGGTACACCCACCTTGATGCCCCAGAGTCCTCCAGCGTCGCGGTGTCCCAGGTACTTGACGACGAACTCTTGTGGGAGAGACAAGGCTGCTGACGTCTGCTCCAGCTGCTGCTGTCTGCTCTCTGTCACCGTCCCCCACACAACATTATTATTAGTATTAGTAGTAGTAGTAGTATTAGTATTATGCCTTCCAGTTGTATACTATTTCCTGTAATATTTGTTCTACCATGTTGTCATGGATCATATGGAGAGCCCAGCGGGCACCAGCCACTTGCACTGGTCGGTACAGTGACCACTTCGCTTCTTGCAGGTCGGTGTTCAATCCCCGCATGATGCACGTGGGTGGGCACAATGCCTTCCCTGCTCTTTGTTACCATATCCCTTCCAAGTGCTATACAGCCGTCCTGCCTCAGTTGTCTTCACATACCTTACACCACAACACTGACACACTCAACATACACTGATATAATTGTTGTTGAGTTACACTGATGCAGATACAAGCTTAAAATCTACTTTTTACCTCAAATTACAGCATGTTCTCTTTTTTCATGAAATATCTTGAGAAAGCGTCATCATAACTTGAAGCTAAGAGGACCTAACATGTGATTATAGAACCCAACCTCCTGCTACGATATATAATCCACTTGGAGGCTGTATTGTCTTCACTATTGGTCGAGGTCACAGGTGAGGCGGGGTGGGGTCAGGATACGCCACAGGTGAGGCGAGGTGGGGTCAGGGAGGGTCACAGGTGTGGCGGGGTGGAGTCATGAAGGGTCACAGGTGTGGCGGGGGTGGGGTCAAAGGTGAAAAAGTATAACTGACCTTTGTTACTCGTTGACTTATCCTCGAAACTGAGTTTGCGGATCTCCTTGGTGATCTCCTCGCCTGGGGTAGCAGCTGGGGCCTTGCTCCCGTTCATCTTCGGCGGCAACTGTGTTGGGGTGGTGTAGGGGTGGTGTGGTCGTGGTGTTGGGGTGGTATAGAGATGGTGTGGTCGTGGTGTTGGGGTGGTGTGGTCGTGGTGTTGGGGTGGTGTAGAGGTGGTGTGGTCGTGGTGTAGAGGTGGCGTGGTCGTGGTGTTGAGGTGGTGTGGTCGTAGTGTAGTGGTGGTGTTGAGGGGTGGCGACAGCAGCGGCAGCACCGTGGTGGTGACCAACATGGAAGATAAACAAGACCATTTAGTGTGATACGGGAGACGTGAGGTGTGACCAGTGTGACACACAACATGGGAGAGACCATGTGGCCACATACTGGCAATATTGTGTATTGTCATGGCAGACAATACGTCATTATAACGCGGGTGAAAAATAGACCCCTAACCCTTAAGTCTGCAGTAAAAGAGTTAACGATGTTTCGGTCCGTCCTGGACCAGTATCCGTCCCAGATAATGGTCCATAATGGACCGAAACGTCGTCTATTTTGATTTTCAGATTTGTGGGTTGTCTAATATTGTCATTCAAAGTTAATATCTGAAAGAGTATATATACCCTTCACGGTGGTTATTCTCAGGAAGTGCGGATGACAGTTTGAAAGATGATATATTTCATTAACATTTCCTCTCCCGTCCAGCCTACTGTAGCCTACCTGTGGTCTCCTGTGGTACCAGAGCGGACAGTGGGAGGACATGAACCAGGCCGCTCATGGTAGGTATGGTGAGGGCGTCGTATGGCCTCTGACCCAGTTGACGCTGCCTGCTACCGCCACCCACCTCCACCCACTCATCCATCACCTCCACCCACTCATCCATCACCTCCACCCCCCCCTCCTCCCCCACCTGTTGCCATAACTCGGCCGACCAGGGATGTCATGCGGGCTATACCTGTCTCCTGGCTTGTTGCTGTATGCGCTGGTACTGTTGTTGTTGTTCCAGATTCAGCCACTCTGAACAAAAGTTGCAATCAGCACGGTCTATGGTGAGCCCGTAGTGGACATGTGCTGGTACCTTTCAAGTTATTTAACTGTACAGTCCTCTGTCGTATTTGGCCTTAAAGTTATGGCTAGAGGTGGCTTATCACGACCACTTTTAGTGCATTCCAAAAAGTATGGAAAAAGTACAGAGCACTGTGTGCAGGGGACAATATAAAGATGCTAAAGAAAGCTTGAAAATAATACATTAGGTTAAGGAGAGCAAATTGAAAACTACACAGCAGCGAGGGAGGATGATCCAGTGCTGGTGAGTAATCCTATAATAAGACAAACAGTGGTCACGTGGCCAGGCTGAGGAAGCAAGAAGAGATTCTCACAGAAAACGATAAGGAGGTGTGAGTGGAAGTCGACAAAAAAGGATTCAAGATGATTACAAAACGAGGAGCTTAGTGAGGCAGGGCGGGCGAGGATAAGCAACATTACGTAATATAAAGAACAAATCAAAGGATACCTGATCAACCAGGCTGTGATTCATTCGTCAGGCTGCGAGCAGCCGCGTCCAACAGTCTGGTTGACCAGACGACCAACCAGGAGGCCTGGTCGGGGACCGGGCCGCGGGGCTGTTGATCCCAAGAAGCTACACGAGATAACCGACAAGCTGTGCTTCCCAAGGTGCGGCTTCCAGGCAGGTGCTTCATAACTGTGGTGGTGGTGGTGGTGCTAGTGGTGGTGGTGGTAGTGCTAGTGGTGGTGGTGGTGGTAGAGATATACTGAGGGTAAAGGTTACTTGTCTCAGCTACGCGTCATAATCAGAGCCTGTCCTCCATCTTATATATTACAGTATACGCTTTTATTGCTTACTACAGCCATTCTTCACTTATATTTATCCTCTCTCTCTCTCTCTCTCGGCCACATCAACACATCCGTAACTATTAAAAACCGTTAATTACGATACTTATACGGATCTAATATAAGGGACCTGGTAGCTGAGTGTACAGCGGTCGGGATTCGTAACCCTAGGGATCGGGGATCGATCCCTGGCAATGGCAGAAACAAATGGCCAGAATTTCTATCACTCCTGCACATCCTGCCATAGGTTCACCTAGAAGTAAATAGGTACCTGAGAGTTAGACAGCTGTTACGGGCTGCTTCCTGTGTGTGTGCGCGCGTTCGCGAAAAAAAAGTGGATTGACCGACAGTTGAGAGGCGGGCCGAAAGAGCCAGAGTTCAACCCCCGGAAGCACAACTAGGTGAATACACGCCCACATAACACCCACACATTTTTTGTGGGCGTGGGTGTATGGGGCGCTTCAAGTAGAGGGGGGGGGGGTGGGGGGGGGGGAGTATAACAACACCAGTTGGAGGGTCGGAGTTAAACCTTGACTTTTGTTAAACCTCACTGGTACCCCCCCCCCCCTACCTCCCACCATCACACCAATACCAACTATCACATTCACTACCATTGCTACCACCCCACCAATCATCCCACCATCATTACTAACCCCCACAACCACCCCCTACCACCAATACCATCACTCTTTCCCCCCACAATGAGCCTAGCACCTTAAGTGGTGTCTTCCAGGGATCTGGTCGTTATGTACAGGAACGACCTGCCCGAGGGATCGAGCTAGGACATGTTAGTGTTGGCAATTGACGCGCAACTTGCCTAATGGTTCACATGAAAGTGGAAGGCTGTGTAGTGTTGTAAGCAGACCTCGACAAGTGCAGGAGCAGGTGGAGACGTGGGTGTACCGTCCAGGCCAGCAAGTATATGGGAACACAGAGTAGCGGATCAGGCCAGGAAGGCAACTACGGGAATCTGAAAGAAATACTTGGTAGTGGATATAATGGTCGGACCAGCGACACACACGAGCAGGGAACTCCGCCCCTCACCTTCAGACTCTCCCAACACCACCAGTCTCCATCCTCCTGTAACTCACTTGTTCATCATACCCCTCACAGGACGGGACTCTACACTCGCCAGTATACCTTACAGTCTGGTAACATTGTGTTGCTTCTGTGGATCACCGTCCCCGCGGCCCGGTCTCTGGCCTGACCTCCTGGTTGGTGGTCTATTCAACCAGGCTGTTGGACGCAAATACTCGCAGTCTGAGGTATGAGTTACAGCCTGGTTGTTCAGGTATCCTGTGGGGGGTGTTTACCAACTTCTTTTTTGAATACTATGAGGGGTCAGCCAGTGCTTATAGTCTTATGCCCGCGATGTTGATAGAGTTCTCTCTCAGAGTACCTGTTGCACCTCTATTCTTCAACGGGGGTATTCTGCACATCCTGCCATGCCTCCTGGTCTCATGTGGTGTTATTTCTGTGTGCAGGTTTGGGACCAGCCCCTCTACTATTTTCCACGTGTAAATTATTATGTATCTCTCCCGTCTGCGCTTAAGAGAATACAGATTTAGGCCTTTAAGTCGGTCCCAATAATCTGTAAGTTTCACTGAGAGGATCCGGGTTGAAATTGAAGCCCTCGTGAGTGTGGGATTTCCAAAGGAACTTTACATTTTGTTTTGTTTTTTTATGTTTGAGTCAAGAATTACTAACGACATTTTGGTTGAAGTGTTAGTGGCGGAGTGTGAGATTATTGTTTACAAGGTTGTGGTAAAGTTGCTCACTCATAGAGCAGAGGCGAGAGAAGCGTCACCAGTGTTCTCTGGTGATGTCCTCGAGTGCTGCACACACCACCCGAGCCCCACCCCGAGCCTTGCCCCACCCCGAGCCTTGCCCCACCCCGAGCCTCGCCCCACCCCGAGCCTTGAGAGTGTGTGTACTGCCTTCATGTCCCTCTACACTCCACTCTCTCGTCTTAAGCCTCGCCTTTCCACCATCAGTAATTTACTGCAAAGACTTTTCACAAGTTTTCTTATATTTACACTTAAAACTGTAACGATTTGACCTCGACAATTTCCTCGTCCAGTCTGTTATATTTTTTACACATCTTCAAATGATCAAATTCATTCTTACATCTCTTGACTCATTTGTGTTTCCATCTGCCATTTTGTCTCCTTGGACTCTCAATTTGTGATCAATTTCCCCTTGAATCCTTGTACGTCGTTATCATGTCTGCCTCAGTCTATATTTAGGCCAGTGTAGTGAGGCACAGTTCCCTCAGCCTGGCTTCGTAAGTCAGGAACCCGCCTTGTTGTGCATTTTTTGGACATTTTCTATTTACTTATTGTGTTTCCTTGTGTGGAGGTTGTATCTCGGGGCAGCATACTCGGTAATGGCTCTCGCACATAATGCTCACAAGGTCCTTTGTTCAAGGAAGGAACTATCAGGGGAAGCGCCAAGCCATTACGACTATATAGCACTGGGAAGGGGTCAGGAGAAGGATTTGGGATAGGACGAGGCGGGAGGAATGGTGCCCAACCACTTGGACGGTCGGGGATTGAACGCCGATCTGCATGAAGCGAGACCGTCGCTCTACCGTCCAGCCAAAGTAGTTGGGCTGTCCTTTGTTCAAGTTACTAAAGGATAACCGGACGCTTGTCGGCGTGGCATCTGCTGCCCTCGTTAATGTGCTTGTGTCTTCCTCTGGTCTTAGACCTCCAGTTATCTCTACTCTCAAGTATTTTTTTTGTCTTTTCTGAAGTTGGAAGTCGTCTTCCCTTCATCCTGTGTCGTGTCTGAGGTCTTCTTGCTCCAATTCATATCCTCGTAACCTTTCATTGTCTCTGTTAAAGTCCAGAAAATATTCGCGTGAACATCTCTGGAGATTGTCTAGTTCACCTTGCAGTCTTCATGTGTGATCCCGCTTATTACCTTAACATGCTCAGCAAGCATGGACCACTTTACTTCCTCTGTTGTTTAAGTATATTAAGAACAGGAGTACCCTTGAGGTACTCCCGAGAGAGAGAGAGAGAGAGAGAGAGAGAGAGAGAGAGAGAGAGAGAGAGAGAGAGAGAGAGAGAGAGAGAGAGAGAGAGAGAGAGAGAGAGAGAGAGAGAGAGAGACAGAGAGAGAGAGAGAGAGAGAGAGAGAGAGAGAGAGAGAGAGAGAGAGAGAGAGAGAGAGAGAGAGAGAGAGAGAGAGAGAGAGAGAGAGAGAGAGAGA